ATGGACATACAGATTCGGGAAGCTCAAAAGACCCCTAGCAAAATTAATCTAAAAAAGGATACGAAAGGTACACCTAATCAAATTGTCCAAAGTTCAAGACAAGAATCACACCAATGTCAAAATCTATTATGAAGAGAGAGTAATCAAAACAGCACGGTACTGACACAAAAAGACACACTGACAAACGGAAGACAATAGAGAGCCCAGAAATAAACCTGTGCATTTAAGATAAACTGATTTCCAACAAAACTGACCCGAACATACAGTGGGAAAAGCATAGTGTCTTCAATAGAAGACAGTATTCAGAGCGTAGCCACGGTGGTGCAGGTGGCATGGCTCTGCTACATGATACTGGAGCCATGCTGCAGACCTCAGCTTGGACAGTATGGATCTTGGGTCGACCTGATTGTGACCCCGGCTGTTTGGAAGACTTTGGACAGGGGAATCACAACACAGCAAAACCCAGTTAAGGGTATATGAACACCTGCATGTGAATGCCACTCATTCATTAATCAATCAATAAATGCCTGAAATAGAGAAAACTAGATATCCACAAGCAGGAGAAATAGGACTCTACCTTACTGCCATACATAAAAACTCAAAAATAATAGACTAAAGACTTAAATGTAAGGGTGTAAACTGTAAAACTACTAGAAGAAAAAAAGTGGAAATGCTCCACAACATTGATCCAAGCAAAGATTTCTAGATTGTGACCCCAAATACACACACCACAAAAACAAAAACAAATGGAACAGCATCACGCTAAAAAGTCTGAGGACCAGGAGTTGGCGTAATGGCTATGTTGCTGGACTTCCATGTAGCTGACTGTGATTTGAGTCCCAGGCCCAGTGGCTTAAACTCACACCAGGCATGTGTGCATACGTGCCCAAGATCCTGAGAGAAGAATGGAGGAGAAGGGACTGCAGTGTGGCTATCCTCCCGGGGGGGGCTGGGGGGGGGTTTTCCGCCCGGGGGGGGGGGAGATTTCTAGCTTTCTGTCTCTGTCTGTCTCTATCTTTCTGGCGAGCGCATGTACCCTATAGCAAAAACCTCTCCAAAATAAAAATTTAAAAATACCAAGTCTCTGGTACACGGGATCCAACTAATAGAGACAATATAAAAATAAGGAGGAAATCTCTGCTAGCCATACTTCAAGAGGCTAATACCCAACATACATAAATATTTAATAGTAAGAAACAATCCAGTCAAAAAAATGGGGAAAGGACGCTTTTCAAAAGGTGCCATAGCAATAGCTAGCAAGGATATGAAAAAATACTCAGCATCACTAATCATTAAGAAAATGCAAATTAAAACCACAATTTAAACAAACAAACAAAAAAAACCACAATGAGGTATTTCCTCAAACTTGCTAGAATGGTTATCACTAAAAAAAAAACATAATAAAAAACACAAGAGATAAACAAGAGTTGGTAAAGGCGTGGAGAGACGGTACCCTTGTATACTGTTGGTAGTAACATATTAATTAATATAGCCATTATGAAAGACAGTACAAAGGTTCCTCGGGACACTAAAAACAGAATCAACCTACCATCTATGACAGTAATCCCACTCTGGGTGTATCTCCAAAGGAACTGAAATCAGAATGCCAAAGAGATACATGCACGTCCATGTTTATTGCTAATATCATAATAACTAATCTATGTATGGATGCTACGTAGGTGTTCACCAACAGATAAGGAAAATGTGGTGTATATGAGTGAGCTTCAAAAAGCTTATGAAAACATACAATAAAAAATAAAACTATGCGTGGATTTCGAAAAATTTTTGTATCAAAATAAACTCATGCTTTAATTCCATTTTTCTATGGGCTTTTGTAAAAAACACTTATTTATCTATTTATCTGTTATGATCTTTAAGTTGCTGGTCAGGGAGTCAAACCACAGTCAGCCATGTGGGATTCCAGCACTTTAACCACCATGCCACCTACAGGCCCCTTCCCTGAACTTTTTAAAGTTCCCCCGTGCATATTCTATTCAGCCCTTTTTAAGAGAGGAAAGGGCCAGCTGTGTAGTGAAGCAATCATGCACTGCGCAGAAAAGCAGGGTCCCACACGGTAACCGTAGTTTGAATCCCCAGCAAGGTCAGCCTGAAACACGCTGGGCACTCCTGAGTGTTCAAGATCCCACTTACTTCAGGAAGGGGATCGCAGCACGGACCAGACCCTGTGGAGGGTGCTCTTCCTCTCTCCCATGTGCACGCATATGTTCTATCAAGAATAAAGAAAAAGATGTTAAAAAAAACCCCTGGGCCAGCCATAGTGGCACAATGGTGACACTCCATGATGCCAAAACCATAGAAGAAGGTTCTGGGTTCACATCCCGAGGTCTCCCTGTGCAGGTCAGGCACACACAGTAGGTGCCTGTGGATCCTGGCTGGCTGAGGCTAGGATGAAGATCCCAATCTTCATGTTTCTCTCTCTCTCACAGAGAAACATACAAATAAACTTTAAATTAATTAAATAATTAAAATCGGATAATGGAGCCAGCAGTTCATGTGACGGTTAAGGCACTCAACTTCCACTTGGTTGACCACAGTTGGAGTCTTGGACCAGGTGGCTTGAAAACCATGCTGGATGCATGCATGCTCAGTCTCCCAAGAAGAGAATGGAAGAAAAGGGACTGCAGCATAGTCATCCCCCTGGGGGTGATTTCTCACTTTCCCTCTCTGTCTTCTCCATCTGTCTCTAGTGAGCACTCACGCCATGTGGCACAAACCTTAGCAACAACAACAAAGCGATGTTAAGGAAAAAACAAAACTGTCAAAAACCAAGGGAAGATAATTACATTACTTGGTCACAAGGGGAACAGGAGAGGAGGACAGAAGGTTACAGAGTCAAAATGGTGGAAACACAACTGCTGATTTAATGTGAGCAGTCACTTAATCACAATGGGGGGATAAGAGAAGAAAGGAGAGGCAGAGGAGCTAAAGCCCCATCTATGGTGCAGAAGGACATGCTGTCTAAAATGAAGGACGGAAACAACTGAGAGCAGCAGAAACCTGTTAGTTTACAATGTGGCGGTAACTACCTTACGAAAGAGCTCACTGCGGGAAGCTCCCTCCAGAGTGAGCTGGAGGGCGGAAACTGGAAAGCAGGGGCTCCTATCTGCCTGGGCTTCCATCCTGACAACCTTAGTTTCTAAACTGTGTACCTGCACTACCTGAACACAACTGACGAGTAAAGGTTAAAAAGAAGGGTTTCTGGAGAGGTTTTTGCTATAGGGCATGTGCACTCGACAGAGAGACAGAGAGACAGAAAGCGAGAAATCACCCTCCCATGGGGGATGGCCACACCGCAATCCCTTCTCCTCCATTCTCCTCTCAGGATCTTGGGCATGCACACACACATACACCCAGCATGAGTTTAAGTCACTGGGTCTGAGACTCAAACCGCAGTTGACTACACGGGAGTCCAGTGACATAGCCACTATGCCAACTGTTGGTCCCAAGAAGGGGGTTATTAATACAGATCAAATGAAGAATAATAAAGACATACAGAAAATAATTTTCTAAGTAGTAAACATATATTTAACAAATAGTCTAGGGTCAAAAAACCAAGGAACCAAAAGAGAAGATCATAACATAATAATTTAGACCACAGGTCTGTAAAAATACAGCTCATTTTACCATATATTCTTCCTAAACTGGATAGAAACTGAATTGCTATACAGTAAGTTACATTTTTATAATATTCACCAACTGGATTGTAGAAGTAATGTGTAACTTGGTAGAAAATTTGAAAACAAAGTAAAGTAAGTAAGAATCTGCATAATGCTAGTGTTCAATGACCCGTTATTACCTTTCTAAATGCCTGTATTCTTGTTCTTAAACTCAGTATTGGTATTAACTGCATATACTGTTAAGAACTTGAACCAACCTTAAGCATTTTCTCATCCCATCAAATAGTCTTCCAAAATCCAGAGCCCTGACGGCAGCACACGTATGCCCCAGGGTGCGATCATTGCTCCGGGTGCTAGACGACCGGATTCTACATTGATTATAATCACGGTACACCTGAGGAGCTTATAAACAAGTCTGGTGGATATTTGGATAATTCAATAAAAATCCTCTGGCTGGAAATACACATCATTCTTTAGAGAGTAAAGCACACAGTATTTTAAAAGCCAGCACAGCACGAGGTCACAACAGTGGCTGCCACTTGCTAATTCTGATACTCCCACCTCAGTCACGGAAAAGTGCCAAGACAAGCCAAAGGCTAAAGTCTCGCCTTGGCTCCAGGCAACTCTGCTGACCCGGTCTGGGAGAATCCCCACGTCCTTTCCCACTTGTGTAAGAAGGGCTGAATTCCAGGATTCCGGAAGGTCCCCCAGAGCCCTAACATCTGTCCTGTCATCTGGGCTAGCTCACTGTACCTGTGAAGTCTGTCCCCACCTCAGCAGATCTGGTACTGTGGTCACAACTGTCACAGCCCCATCCTGCCTTCTCTGGTCCATGGAGAAGAAACAATTTTAAGAGTGTTCAAGTCCTGCATTAAGCAATAAAAGCCAAATAAGGAGTGTGAAAGAATGAAAAGGTAAAGGCAGAAAAAGAGGGAGTGTCGGAAAGAACACAGAGGCACACACTCACGGGGTCGCGTTTGGGAGGAAGTCACGAGTTTACCGACCGCGGCTTCTCCCCGTGTGCAGGAAGTGCTTCGGAAACAGGCCACTGGCGCAGGCACACCTGAAGGGCTCCACACTGTTCCAAGCGTTTCTTGCTATTCTGCCACAATTTTGATTTCCGGCTTGCACAGAGCTGCCCTAGGGAAGAACTGCTGAAGGCCCCCTCAATATTATGGGTCTCTCAGACAGCTGAAGGACGCTGTAGTGGGTTAAGTGGTGACAAGTCAGAGGACGACTGAAGCAGACAGATGGCAGACAGATGTCACCGGGTGGGAGGACAGAATGAGCGCTGACTCACGCTCCCTCCTCCTGCCCCAGGGAGGCAGCCAGCTCTTCTGCTGCTCCCTTCTCTGCAGAAGCAAGCAGCTCAGCCAGTGCTATGGGAAGGAGACCAGGGGTCAAGGGCGAACTGGAACTGGGGGCAGGAGGGACCAGGGCTGCGGTGAGCGTGGAAGTGCTACCCAAGGGGAGACGCGTTCCTCGTGATGGAGCGGAAGAACAGACACGATGGAATAAAAAGAATTACGGAAGAAAAGAACAGGCCGAGGTACGTTTCACTACTCCACTTGCCCAAAGCTGCCAAGAACATCGAAGTAACTCAACATTCCCCACAACAACTAGGAACTTTCGCTTTTTCAGCAATGGGACCTATGGGGGCGAAATTCCCCAGGCGCCTAGCACCCCAAGCGCGGGGCTCCATCTCCCACGTGAGTGCCCTGCAGAGAGCACTAACCCCCTTTCACTGAGGCTTGTCCCTGAAGACCTCACAGCTCTGGTGCAGTTGGCCCGCACCTCAGTCCAATCTGTGAAGCTGTGGCACCCTCCTGAAGCAAGACAAACTGCTCAGAGGCTCCTAAGTCCTAATTCAAATGCAAATTTTTCATTGTGTTTTTAGCTGAAAAGATTTAATTCCGATCATTTTCTTCCCTTTTATGTCTCAGTCCCTCTTTACCCTCCCTTTTGGTACTCACATCTAGGAGAATGAAACAGTAGGGACACACATTCCAGGCTGACCTCAGGCACGTCTGCCTGTGGGCCTCTGCATCCCGAATCTCCAAGAGGGCAAGAGTAAGCTCCACTCCCACATCCCTGAGGATTAAGCAGAACACTGCACACGGGCTCTGATACACGGCTGCCCAACACTGACCATCTTCCATTCACTCCTGATTAACAACAGAAAAAGCACAGCCTACACTTTCATTTTTTAAGCAGAAAAGACTAAAAAAGAAAAGAAAAAAGCACCAGTTCTTAAATCCCGTGAAATTCCAACCACCTAGGGACCTCCTTAAGTGAGGAAATGTCAATCCTGAACTTAAGGTGAAGAAGAAAAACCCAGGAGTAGTGTATAGAGAAGTGAGGAGAGATACACACCCCCACAAGAGGGCTGCAAGGGAGAGGGTCTCGTGACACAGGGACAGCGTGGCACCTTCCGCCAGCTCAGACACTGACCAAGGATCAGGAGTAGCTGCCCTTCCCAGGCCCAGAGAGTCCTGGAAGCGGGAAGGCTGGCCAAGCTCTCTGAGGAGCTGACAGATGAAGCGCCATCGTACTGGCTACTTCCGGCCTTGCTAACTGCCTTCCTCTCCTGGAGCACTTACTGTGTAATTCAGCAGAACCTACAGTCCTTTCGTCCCACACATCCTTCCCATCCAGACTGCTGTCGCACTGAAGACAAAAACAGTGTCCTAACAGTCACATGGTCTCGGCAAGCACTTGGTAACTGCTGACTAAATGGAGAACACTGAGAGTAAGTTCGAGCTTTCTATTTGGGGACGTCCTTTCAAATCTGAAATGTACTCAATGGCTACATCAAACTGGAAGTCTACTTTCTGTCTATATTCCCATGACCTCAGGAATCCTCATCTCATTGGACAACTGATGGCCACTGTCTCCAACAGAATTTAAAATATCTCCTTACTCTACCCTCCAATTCAATACTTCAAGTAATTTACAGTAAAAACACAATAGTTCTCTTGGGAGTACCTACAGTATACACTTTGATATTTGGCAAATTTTAAGATGCCTTTATTCCCAGATGTAGTCTTTACCTTCCCCCTCAGCCTTTTATTCTCCTCATCTCATTGGCTTGAAGGCGGTGTGAATGCAAACCTAGAAAGGCAGCAGGCAGCAGCTCAGTGACACCTCAGGGTGCAGGGTATGAGTGATAAAGGAATATCAAACTTCAAAGAAAAGCAGTTCAAACTGAAATTGTATTACTGTGGAAGTTACAGGACTTCATGTACCTCCCAAAGTCTCTCCTGTCCTCTTACTCAAAGCTCTCCCCAAACCTACATTACTACACCACTGTAGTATCCCCCCTGCTCCAAAGCAACCCTAACTATGTGCAAATACCCTCTGTGTGCAATGTTACTATACCTTTGGGATAGTGAAAGTCCTTGGAGAATAACTACCTCAGATTTGCAGATTGCTGCTGAACAATCCATTTTTCAAGAAATGTGAGAGCTGTGTCTTCTAAACAAGTATGCTCGCTAAGAATGAAGTAATCATCTTAACGCTTTCTTTCAATTATCTTTATGGGAGAGCTAGAAAAACTGATGAGACAAAATAGTTATTTGCATCCTCTGACTTCAGAAAATATTTAAGTGACAATCTCTTACAATTTCCTGAGATCAGGGGAAGGCATAAGAGAATAGCACACCAATTTTCAGCTCCTTCTGGACGAGGCTTTCACTGCACGGCTTCTTTTGCTTGGACAGTTATAAATTCACAAAGGACATTCAAACATAAAAGTATTTCAAAGCCGAAATGCACTGGATGCTATCATGGTCACAGGGTCTGTGCCTCTCCTCCCACAGGGACCGCATCAACTACAGCAGGAGCTCACGTCAAAACATGCCTGCCCCCACATCGCAACGGACTATGGCCAGGGAGGACTGGCTCTGTCACGCTACCAAGTTTTTAAGTCACGTTCTTCTCTGGCTTTGGATTTTTCACCTGCAAAGTAAGGTCATTAAATCAAGTATCTCTACAACTTTAAAACTTCCAAACAACTACACAAAGAACAAGTCAACTACAAAATTTGGGGCCTTTTAGGATGGCATCATCCCTAAGTTCAAGACACTCAGTTTATCCACAGCCGGCCATCAGCGAAAGCTGCATAAAATCCCTAGTTACGTACGACCCTCGTGTTTCCAAAACGCTTGTCAATTCATATCATTTCCTAAGTCCACAGGAACAGCAGGAGAGGTGGTACTACCTGTACCACACGAATGAAAACAAGACTGGAAAATGGGCATTACTGGTTCTAGATTTCTCATACAGCGGAGATATCCCTACTACTCATTGTAACTAGGTCATGCACTGCTATTATTACTCGCATTATCAGAAATACTGAGTTGTCGGAAAGGTCATGACACATTTTTGCAAAGGAAAATATGTCATGACTTTTCCGACAACCCAATTAAAAAACCACAACTAGAAGCAGGTCTAAGACCCAATGAAATGCACGTTTAAAACACTGAGGGGTTGGTTGGTGATGCAGCAACAAAATGGGAGGCTCTGTTAGGAAGGCCTACACAGCCGAAGACCTCCCTGAGCATGCTGGGCTTGCCTGTGTCTACGATCCAGGACGCCTGGGGCTGAGTGGACTGCGACACGGAGCTGCTTTAACTCTCTTTCTCACTCATGGAATTAAAAAGAGAAATATAAAATACTATAATTTCATTGCATAACAGCACTGCGATCAACAGACTGCACCTACGACAGCAGACTCGTAAGGTTTCTACAGGCTACACCAGAGAGCCTGGGTGTGGAGTTTACTATACCAACCAGGTTTGTGTAAGCACTCCGGTGTTCGTACAGGAAGAAAATCTAACGACATCACTCTCCTCATGTATTACCACTGTCAGGAAAAAAATTAACTGCCATCATTAGAGCATAAGAATGTAGTAGGCTCTAAACTAGGAGGGTCACTTTATGTTTAAATGATTAATCTGTCATCGATAGTTACTTGAGTTGATAAAACTCACTTGAAGAACACTGAGCAAACTAAACAAGCAAAGCGCTTGTGAAAGCTCTTGCAAGCATAGCTCAGTACCTCCCTCCAGGCTGCATCCAAGGGTTTCTTCGCCAGTGGCCCAGTAAGCTGAACAGGACGCAGACACACTGAAGAGAGAGTTTCAATGGACAGTTTCAGTTTACAGAGACAATCTCGATCCAAAGAAATTAGTTCTCTTAAACACAGTCATTCTCATAAAAATTGCTTAAAAATTACTTTCAATTTGGTTGGCATGACATCACAGAATTAAAGACCTTGGATAAATGCAGGAAGCATTTAATATTAACTGGACTGACCTTCAAGTTATAAATAGTGGCCAAACTCCGGATAAAATTACCTTTATTAACATTAACAGTGTATATTAAACTATGAATGTGCTTTCAATAAAAAGTTTCTGAAAATAAGTAATATCTTATACTAAGACGTTTAAATAAGTATTGTATAAAGGGATCACATTTGATAACTTCTTCATTTGACAGACCAAAAAAACTGACCACCTGCTGTGCCTCGGGAGCTGAGGGCAGACGGCGCACAAAGCACCCTGTAGGCGGCAGGCTCGGCTTAAAGAGCTGTTCTATGAGAAGGGAGCTGCAGGCGCCTCCACTCCATTTCACACAGAAAAATAAAGCCTCTGCTGTCATGTCCAAGACAACACAAGTAAAATAAATAAATAAATAAAGGGGGGGTATGCATGAAACCAAAGTTCTGCAAATCATTTTGGGATATTTGAAGGGGGGAAAAAAAAAACCTATCCACATTGGAGCACAAAGGAATATACGGCCAAAAAGAACTAACGTATTCCTTTGTGTAGATTTCCTAAAACTAAATGACGGTAATGATTCTTTTCAAAAAAACGTAATTTTTTAATTTCAGTATTTCATTTATTCATAACTAATATTACTGCATTCGGCTTTATGACAGCTTGTCTCAAACTGTAAGAAAAAATTACCAACTAAACAACTACAGAAAATGTAATAATGAAAGTCAAGTTTTTCTACTTGACTATTTTTTTATTAAAATAGTTGCTCTCTTTACAGGTAAAGTTCATGAATCATCAATCTCCTAGCAAAAATTATGTAATTTATTAAACACACTTAAACTGGAACTACACAGGGTATGGTGGTGAGTTACACACTGAGCAAGTACAAAATTCTGGTCCAAATCCAACAGGATCTGTATCGGCAGAAATGTAACTTACTGCACTGATGGGCTGCCCTTACAAGGGGCATCTGTACAGGGACTGCTACGACTGCTATTACCAAACTACAATTCACGTCAGGTTGGATATCAATTATGAGTCGGTCCAGCAGAAAGCTCTCTTTCAACAAAAGTAAGAATTAAACTTACATTAAGGATCATAAATGAACAGTGTGGGAGGCCCCAGGTTGAAACCCTATGTCTGCTACTTCCTAGCTATACGACCTCAGGAAGCGTCATCCGCACTCCGGGCCTCGACTGAGGAGGTAAAGGCAGAATGAGCGACTGGCGCCTCACAGAGCTGGGGACAATCACTGTCTGTCACAAGGCTGGGCACAGGGACATGTGTCCGCAATCGCAGCAACTCGGGCAGGCTGAGGCTGGCCTGCCACCTCAAGTCTGGTATGAACAATCAATTCCAAAAAAGACCCAGGTATGGTGGTGAGTGCCGGCAGTCCAAGCTGGAGAGCGCTGAGGTAGGAGGGTCATGACACAGCGAGACTCTGTCTTAAGTTAAAAAATATGTATCTACACATATGTACACATATATGTATGTGTGTACGTATGTGTTACACATATATAAGTCAACAGTTCCTGACACCAAGTGCTCAATAGGTGTTAGCTGTTTCTATTACCAAAAGAGAACCGACTTGACCCTTTCATGAAAAACAGTTCTCATTTCAAGAAACATTAGTCAAATAGATATAATCAGAAGACTTTTTAAAATTAATTAAATATCCATGAAGTACTTTTCACTTTAGGAGCCAATGTTCAACAAGATCTCAGTAGCTCTGTAATGTTTCTAAAGAAAACCACAGATTGGGTAAAGTCTAGACCGCACCTTCTTATGTTGGCTAGAACTGGAGGAATCTGAGAACTTAAACCATGCATTAAAATGCACATACATTGGGGCCAGCAAGTGGCACGGTGGTTGGAGGCGCTGGACTCCCACATGGCCAACCACAGTTCAAGTCTCAGACCTGGTGGCTTGCTTTCTCCCCTCCTCTCTCTCTGTCTCTCTCTGATCAAACTGGAAAATAATAATGATAATAAATAAAGTTAAATAAAATAATTTTTTAAAAATGCACATACATGGGACCAACAGAGTGCATAAGGGTTACGCAGCTGGACTCCCACACAGTCGACTATGGTTCCAGTTCCGAACCTAGCAGTTTAAAACTCACACCAGGGGACCAGCTGTTAGCTGGCTACGTCACTGGACTCCCATGTAGTTGACCACAGTTCAAGTCCCGGACCCGGTGGCTTAAACTCACGCCAGGCACGTGTGTGTGCCCAAGATCCCGAGAGTAGAATGGAGGAGAAGGAATTGCAGTGTGGCCATGCCCCCTGGGGGGGGGGGGATTTCTCGCTGTCTGTCTGTCTGCCCCTCTCTCTCTCTCTTTCTTTGTCTTTCTGGTGAGCGCACATGCCCTACAGCAAAAACCTCTCAAGAAAAAAAAGAGGGACCAGCAGTTAGCGTAATGGTTATGTTGCTGAATTCCCATGTAGTCAACCGTGGTTCGTGTCCTGGACCTGGTGGCTTAAAACTCACGCCAGGCACGTGTGTGTGTGAGCCCAAGATCTCGAGAGGAGAATGGAGAAGGGATGGTGGTGTGGCCATCCCCCCTGGGGGGTGATTTCTCGCTTTCTGTCTCTGTCTGGTGAGCACACGCGCCCTATGGCAAAAACCTCTCCAAAAAAAAAAAGAAAAGAAAGAAAAGAAAAAAACTCACACCAGACACGTGTACATTTGTGCCCTAGATCCTGAGAGGAGAATGGAGGAGAGGGGATTGCAGTGTGGCCAAATTACCCACCCCCGGGGGAGTAATTTCTCACTTTATGTCACTCTCTCCCAGCAAACAAACACCCTATAACAAAAATCTCTCTTAAAAAAAAAAAAAAACTGCAGAGAAGACTCCTGCATTTGAGCTGTGAACTATTCCTTTCAGGGACTAAGACTGCTGAAGATTTTCTGCTGAGACTTCACCCTCTAGACCCCAATCTAGAGAGTGGTAGGGTACCCTCTGCATCCTCCTGTCTCTTTATATTTTTTTTATTTTTTAAGGTAAAATATTTTCTTGTTTCTCAGATACTTCCTTATCTTGCAAATTATCATCTTGCCCCTCCCATTTAGGAGAGGTAAAAGCAGAGGCCTGAGAAGACACCTGCATTTGAGCTGTGAACTATTTGGTTTTCATTTTTTGCTTTTTAAAAAAATAAATAAAATTTTTAATTTTTTTTCTTTGTTTTCTTTTCCTTTTCCTTTTACCTTCATCACTTTGCTGTTCAGCTTCCACACACTGAGCGTCTAGACAGGTCTAAGTGAACAGGAGCCAAACAACTGAATACTATTATGGTCAGAATATTCCTCAATTCTCACAGAATCTGCCACACAAAGGGAGAAAAATGAAACTGCAGAGAGACTGCAAATCACCTCCTCCTGCACACCCCTGAACACTCATACTGACCTTCAAAAACATAGGAAGAAAAATAAAACCCATCAGATGACCAGAAATTACCAGAGAGGCACAAAAAATAAGAGAAACCCAGAAAATACCTCTCCCCAAGGGAAAAGAATAACTCCTCTCCATCCACAGACAGTACTATAGAACTCGTGGAAATGTCAGATAAAGAACTTAGAGTATTCATAATGACAAAGCTAACAGAGATGGAAGAGAAGAGAGACAATGAACTCCAGAAGACGCAGGAGAAAAGAGTGGATGAGTTCCAGAAGGTAAGGAAGTTCTTGCACTATCTGAAAGAGGAAATACGCACCATATAAAAGAATCAAACATAACTCTTAGAGATAAAGTCCATAATACAGGAAATCAAAACCTCCCTTGAAAGTATTAAAGGCAGATCATGCAGAAGATTGTAAGAAAAATTCACCACAAAGACTGAGAAAATAGTCCCCAAAAATGAGAACAATATACGAGAAATTCTAGATACCATTAAACATCCAAACATCCAGATAACTGGTATCCCAGAAGGTAAAGGACATAGATAATCTATTCCATGAAATCCTGGAAGAAAACTTTCCAAACCTAGAGAGGCAGTCAGAGATTCAGACCCAAGAAATACAAAGGACCTCAAATAGAATCAACTTAAGCAGATTTTCTCCAAGACACATTATAGCCAAATTA